GTTTTTTATTTATTTGAAAAAAAATTTGTTTGCTATTACCATAAAGCTTAATTCTTTCGTACATTAACATTAAATTTAAAAGAAACAGAATTGTACCATTTTGTTTAGATCGGTGGAGTTTGATAAAAATGTTCCATTTGGATTATAGAATTGTACACTTTATCGAGAATATTTCTCCGTGATACCTAGGTTAATCAATGTTTACGTAACACAATCGATACAACAAGGGATATTTATGTAGAAAATGAATGACACAGATTTCGCAACAACGCATTTTTTTCGTCAAGAGAAAAGCATGACTTGTAGCAGGGGCAATTACGTAAGTTCGTAATACCGTGTCAATTCTCGTCGAATCATGTTTTCTGAATGCACTCATAGAACTTGCGAGATGTGATCATTTTTTGATGACCTTGTTATTTTTGTACAACTGTAAAATAAAAAAAAATAATTGTTTGAAGATAAGAGACAAAAGATGTATCATTACGATTTGCATTAAATGATTTTATTGAAAAATTTTATAGAAAAATATTGATTGTTTCGATGCATGAATCAGTATGTAAAAAGTGTTTTATTTTAATAAGTATTCTAATTATAAATTATATATTATATTTATAATCTTTATAAATTATAAATCATTATGCATCGAAGAATGGAATTGAAATAATTTCGTTCAAGATATAATTCATTACAATTCGTTAACTGATTTATTATTAAAACATTTTTTTTTTTTTTTGTTTTATTTAATTATTTTATAAGAGAAATTTGTTATCAATGTTGATACAATAATCAAAAATTTCTTATATTTCACAATAAAACACTTTTCATCGCGTTAACACTCGATAATATTCGACAAGTCAGATTTTGTCTATCAATCGAATACTTCGTTAACAAGTTTGCTTTGTTCCTACACAGTGAACAAAACTCAGTGTTTCGAAGTACTTTCACATTTTCGAAAACGAAATAGTTATCCATCTATCGCAAATTTTGTTTTTATTTGGATATATAATAATAAAATAATGATAAAAAATGATATAAGATAGAAAAATGATCAATCACACAGGATCTTTCTTTCTTTCTTTCTCTCTCTCTCTCTCTCTCTCTCTCTCTCTCT